ATATTCAAGTGCAATATCATTTAACTTAAACAATTTCGAGTTAAGTTGAAGCATTTGAACCTTTATAGTATTAATCCTCTACCAAAATCACTTTCATGTGCTTGCTATCTAATATGTTCTTCTTGATCCCTTTTTCGGTCTTTCCATCTATCCGACGTTTGTTCTAACCCATTTATTACTTAAGACTTGAAATCTTATACGGACTAGAACATTGCAATATAAGCATGCTCTTTAGACTTACCAACACCAAGTCACATATCTTTTAACTCAACACGATGGGTAGTGTCAATAAAGAAAATTGACACTTCAATTAGTAACTCACATTGACCTCCAAAGTTTCCAACTATTGAAAAAAAATACTAGTTTTAACTTACTACTTATCTGGAAAATGTGACCAACTAAAAATGTCAACATCAAGTTAACCATCCCAGTTCAATTCCATTCAAGAATAAGATCATCTATAACAAAACTTATCAAATTAAATGCTTAAGCACTAGAATCTATCTTTTCCGTACTTGACAAAGTTCTTGATCATTACTCTCCAGAATAATATGACCCAGATTACATGTTTAATGCTTTCTAAAGCATCATGTTCTGCTAATACACTCAAATGTTGTCTGATTTAGCTTATTACCTTTAAAAATGTCAATAAATATAGTTTTTGAAGTCATGATTTATCAAATTTTAGAGATAGTTATTTTTATTTAATCAATGCCCATTTATGCACATATATTATTTTTCAATATTTCAAATTAACATATATTGTAGTCCAATATTAGGCACATAGTCAAAATTTCACTATGTTCTTATCATAACTTTATTTCATAATGCAAAAAGTCCATAAATTCTACGAGAAAATTACATTAATTCTGACATTATTTAAGTTTTATTATACAAATTTTCAACCTTACTTTTATCTAAGCTGCAACATAGCTCTAACAAATGTAAAGTGATATCAGAATAGTCATATTCTGCTTATCACCAAAAAATATGTTCCAAAAATATTCACATATTTTATTAAGTCATGTTCCATATCTATTTATTATTTGAATAAGCATGTAGCTTTTTGATACATAGAGTACCCATAAACGTTTAGTATTTTCTCTTAGAATGCTAAAAATATGCATCAATCGAGCCACATTGGACTAAATATGTAAAATGAGAATATGTCGTAATGGATTGCACGACCACATAAAGACCAACACCACTCAAGAATGTGATATTACTTAAAATTAGAAAAAAAAAATTGATACTAAATCACATCTTTCTGACTTAGATACAATTTTCAAGAAATTGTATACAAACAAAGGGTTGAAAATACTTTATTTTTCATTCTCAAAAAAATGAGAGCATTTGAAAAAATAATAATTATTATTTCCCGGTAAGTAGTAGAATCCTAATAAATATTTGGATTTAATATAAATTTTTCAGATTTTTAGTTAAGTTGAAAATAATTTATTCTGTATTCAAAAATGTATTTTGAACTTTAAATAAAAAAATACTTTAAAAATTTGAAAATATAATATTTTTATACTGAAAAATCCTTAATAATTCAAGGATCAAAATGCAATTTTCAAAATTGCAAACAAATCCCCCACGTGCTCACAAACGCTGGAGAAGTTTCAATTTTTTTTCTTTTAAATTTTATGTGGGAGCGTGTCATGCGTTTGACTTGTAGAGATGGCAATTTTCCCCGCCCCGTCCCCGTGGGGTCCCGCCCTGAATGGGGCAAAAAAACTCGCCCCGAACGGGTTGGCGGGGCGGGGTGAGGTTCGCTACCCCGTCGCGGGTCGCGGGGCAGGGCGGAGATGCCCCGCCTCGAACCCACCCCGTGAAGAATAAAAAAAAATGTTTTGGACATCATGTTCTGCGAAAGATCATGGAAGATCCTCATGAACACATATGTTTACAAATCAGAGCAGTGCTACATCCCCAGGGCCAACATATGTTTACATATGCATTATATTCTATCCATTTTTTTCTCATTATGAATTCATTCTCGAAAATCAAGCATTCTTAATATCGTTACTTATAGATTAGTTTTTTTTTATCTCTTATGCCCCTAATCCTACTGGTGTGTATCATATGAGCTCAAATATAAATGCTTATCAAAACACGCGCGTTAATCGATTTTAATTAACTAGTTTAGACTGTATGCGATAAGCAGCAGGATCACTACATTAACAATTAAAAGTAACAAATCACTTTTTAATTGTTTCTAAATGATTGTTTAATCACATCAATTTATCATATATATTCAACTACCAAAATTTGTAATACGAAAGCAGTAAAGAACACCAAATTGATCACGGAGTAAAAACTTCGAACACTTTTCCATTTAGTAACCTACCATATATCGAAGCAAACTTACAATACAGTTCAGACCCGTCTATCCCTTATAACTTTTGACATCAATTTCTAGAGTCTCACTTAATCCTATTCGATGTGTGTTCCTTTAAAAAAAATCCCGACTTTTGGTTTATACCTTAGCCCACCTGGACTGGGTGCTTCTGACGCCAGATCCTGACTACTAGTATCTGACCTTAGTCCTGAATTTGTACTTTTGCAAAAGTTCTCGATCCCTAGTATTGATTTATCTTCGGGATTAAGTGGTTTGGTATTTGATCAAAAGATATTGTGTTTTGTTATGTAGTTCAATGTGAAACAATATGGGAAGATCGACAAATCAAAGTTTAGATGAATATATGGCTCAAATAATATGGTAGTTGAATGTTTGAATCAATGAATGTGTTTGGATTTTCAAGTGAATGATCTCTATAGAAAAATATGATTCAACACACTTTTAGGGTGCGTTTGATTATAAAGGTGGAAAATGGGTGGAAAGAAAATATATTCCAGAGAAAATGTTTTGCCTAGAAATCATTTTGCTGGGAATTGTCAATGAGGTGTATTTGATTGGTATAATTTTCCACTTGGAAAATATTGAAATTTTTGGATTTTTTGTGTTCGTTTAGCGTTGTTTTTTATGAAAATTGTCGATTAAAGGAATAAAATTTGTTACAATT